GTGGGGAGGGGGTGAGGAGTTGGGGTGGGGGAGAGTGGGGCAGACAAGAGTTGCGTTGATCAGTGGTGGACTCAGGCATGCTCCCTGCTTGGTTGGTCAATTTGCTTCATCGAGTTTTCATACAGTTTGAAAAATAATGAAACATTGTCTCACTGCAAAAGGAGAATCGATGTCTAGCCCTTCCATAAGTGGAGGTGGCTCTATCTCTCTCTTTCTCTCTCTTAAAACCCTCCTTCTTTCTTTCTTCCTTTCTCACTCTTAATCTCTCTTTCACCCCCCCCCCCCCCCCCCCCCCCCTTCCAGGCTGGGAAAATCCTCCTCACCAGAATCCTCCGACCCGGGAGTACTCCACAGGGTGTGGCAGCAGACAAGAGACAATGACCTCAAAGTGTGTCTTCATCACTTCTTGCAGCCACGAGTAAATGTACTGAAATGTGAGTACAGTATGTAAAAAGATCATGTACAGAAACAAAGAAGAAACGCACAATTATATAACAGCCAGAAAAAGCATAAGATATAATGAGAATAATTAAAGTTTTAAAAAAATGTAAGCCACTTTTATGATTATTGCTGAAAGGATATTGCCAGGAGAAGAATCACAGAAATTGATGTACAGAAAAGAGGAAAGGCATGGAATAACATCAAGAGGCTAGCCCAGCCAGCACAGAGAAAGGTGGGAAGTCTTAGTCCGAGGCCCATACCCTGGTGCAAGGTGAGAAAGGCAATGATGATGATGATGATGAAAGGATATCTGTTTAACAATGGAATATATTTATACATAACTACATAAACAGAACAATTCATCAATGTTACATAATGCCAGTCACTACTGCACTGAAACATGAGCACAGGCAAAGATTTCGTTTGAGTAAAGAGAAACACATTGACACAATAATGATCAATTTAAGCTGGGAAAAAAGCAATTCAGACAGACAGACAGACAGACAGACAGACAGACAGACATAATAGAGGGGAAATAAAGAAGTAGGACCTGTCCTTGGTGCCTCCCAACCATCCACTAACACTGATATAATACATTGTAACATGGTCATGCAAAACAGGTAATGTCTTGTGTAGCAAAAAGCACACATAGACATAGTGAACGCACGCATGTATGCACACAAAAACACACACACACACACACACACACACACACATACACACACACA